GTGTAATACCTCGAGCGTCAGCAGCAGCGCCATCGAGCCGCAGCCGCCGTAAAAGATGTCGTTGGTTGGCGCGCCATACCCGATCGTCATCTACGAAAAAGTCGTGCGGGCGCCGAGGATCGAAGCGACGCCGTACGATGGTTTCGACCGAGAAGATGTAGGCCTCCATGAGCGTCGAGACGCCGACGTTGCACACTTCGTCCGTCAACGAGACGTGGCGATAGGCCACCGCGAAGACGAAGATGACCAGGGCGTACTGCTCGACGTGCTCAGCGCGAATACGATGGCACGGCGACGACGTACCGTCAGGAAGATGCCGCAGATGATGCGATCCGTGCGCGTGTTGATGACCGTGTGGAAGAGGTCGTCCCAGTAGATCTTGCGCCAGTTTCCACCCGTGCGCTGGATGCTAATAAACGCAAATGTCAGACCACGAGATGGAGAAGAGACCGACTTGTAGATGCCTTGGGTCGCGTAGCTGGGGCGGCCGGCCGCGCGGAAGACACCGCCGCGGTCGATTAGGCGCGGCTGCGTTGACGCATACGATTTCGTCTGGATCGACCCTTGCAAGAGCGTCGTCGATGGGTCCATGACAAGGTAAAAGGGCAACTGGGATCTTGACGGAACTCGCCGTCTCGGATTGGCTCCTCGCCGTTTATCCGGATGGGATGGGAAAGGCGTGTGCCTCGGTATGTGTTGACTTCAACCAACCGACTCTGAGATGCAGAGGGAAGCTTCGGCGTCCTTGACTGGCTGCTGCGTACCAGCATTTTCAGTTGGCGAAAAGATGACTCCGAATTGCATGCTACAGGGAAAAGGCTGCAGCGCCACCACCAGAATGTGCTTGCCGGGATGTGGCGCGAAACCGGTCGCCTCAGTTCGAAGACCAGATTCATTCCTCACACTAGCTCGTCTTGGGTGATTAAGTAGTTCATGAATATGCAACGACGAGACCTTGCAAATGCGCGGTCAAATCGCACAGCAATGTCGGTGTTGGTTGGGAGAGTGATTGACCCAACCGCCCACAGCCAGCCCACGTGAACCGAGCGCGAGACAAGAACAGATACAACGCGCTGGTAGGCTGTGGCAGCCGCAGTACGACAACGCTCGTTTATTGACAGGCATTGCTTTTCACGCGTACGACTGCAGCACTCGTGCTGTCCCTGCGATCGAGCAAAGGAGCGCGTCCGAACCACGCAGCTGCCGTGGAGCCGAGGCAGGTGAAGTGGACTGTATTTACGTCGCACGTGTTTGTATGTGGTTCAAATGCGTGGAATTCGGCACCAGCACTTGGTCGTCGGGAGTGAGCTGCGTCCAAAGCGTAACGTGATGGCGTAATGAGATAGGTACTAGTAAGGTCCTGATGCCACACTTGAACTGCGCCGTGACCCCGCCGCTTCGCCGCAAGTGCGTCGCCATGACGTGGCACCGCCACAGACCGTTCTCGATCGCAGTCGCAACCGACACATAGAGTAACCGACCGCGAGGAAAGGGCCATGCGCCGACGGTTCGCCGATGTCCTTGGCATCGGGTACCTCGTTGTCTCCATGGGACTCAGCTGCTATTCTCTCTACCTCTTTGCCCCGTACATGGCCAACGACTTTTTCTGGCGCGACTTTGACGCGACCACCGTCTCGACAGCGCTCGCAGCAGCCTTTCGCACGCAGCTTTTGGGCAATGCGTCGCGTCATAGCTTCGACTTGATGGCCTTTGAGAATGGAGTGCCGCTAGCTCAGTACGACGCGCGCGGAAATACCCGCGTCTTCACGCGCATGCTCCTGTACGACAAGCTGACGACAGTGCAAGATGGGATCAACGGCCTTCGCCGCCTCGAGACGAGACTCGTGACGAACCTCATGACGGCGTACTGCTGGGTCGACTTGCAGCAGCGCTGGGCGCTCGCGCACTCGGCGGCGCGGCAAGAGCGCTGCGTAGCTCGGTACACCGCCAATGGCGCCGTGTACCTCGAAGCGACGCTACGCAACATCCAGCTCCGCGACTGGCTCGACTTGAACGGCGCGCGATTCAACTTTGCGATTGCCGACGCTGTGGCGGCCAGTATCGATGGCCAGCGCTGGCTGTCGTCACTGATGGCCCACGAGTGGGTTTCGGTGCCTGACGAGGTCGATCTCTGGGCGTCATTTCATGTGACCCGCTACGAGCTGCAGTACGCCAACCGTGTCGCCACAGGCATTCAAGATACCGTTGACGTGACCAACGCCATGGGTCAAGTTCGGTCGCTCGTCATAGGGTCGTCACCCACCAGGGCACGAGAGGCAGGGTGGACGACCGGCAACCTGGTCGGCACCTTTGAGTACGATCTCCAGGCGCTCGGCCACAACCAGAGCCTCGTGCGCAATGCAACGACGTTTTTTGGATCCAGCGATCCACTGCTCCTTGTGGAATTCAACTACGGTGTCCCGACCCCGTACGAGGTGCTGGTACTAGAAGACGCTCTCGGGCCGTTCTCCAACACTGATTTACGCTGGCTGTCACCGCCAGTATCGCTCGTCACAGCTGTCCAACGCTTCCGAACTGCCGTCCTAACCGCCATGCGAGCCAAGAATGCATCAACTGCCATCTTGGCTTTGGCACCAATGGTATTGACACCGACGCCAGCCATTTGGAGCGACCCGTCGAGCGTCT